AGTTAGGAGATTGCGGCTCATGTCTTAGAAAATCAACATGCGAGACATGTCCCAGGAAAAACTTTTAAGTGTTATGACTATTAACCACTAGCTTAAGATTTGTACTCACATGTCAATCCGCCTACCGCCCCATAGAAGTTTCGATGGAGCGCTCTAGAGGCTGTTTTTCCGGTCTAATAGGCATCTGGCATGATTACTTCATTTAATTTCATCCATCTTCCTTCATATTCTCAAAATCTGTATTTTCACTCTCATTTACAGTTAGAATCTTTTCTGGTCCTCTATCGGATTCTTCTCCGAGTTTGTACACATCTGGCATGACTATGCAATTATAGTTTCATCCTTTTTTCCTTCATATTATGATAATCTGTATTTTCTGTATTTTCACTCTCGTTTATAGTTACAACCTTTGTCATCAACCTATATTAACAGCGCATATCCTTTGTTGGAACAGCCGAAGCTTTGGCCTCACAGGTCACAGAGGAGAATTTCAAGAATCGGCTGATATATCCACCCTTCACCAATATCAGAAAGATTTCAGCCCAGATAGCTGCTAAAGTAGCTGCCAAGGCATATGAGCTCGGTGAGCTTATCTATCTGCCCATCGTTTCTTTCTTTCTTTCTTTCCGTTAATCTCTTTGGTATGGAAGTTTGCCGATGTAGAAATTGATTCATCTGGTATGAATAGGTGTTGCTACTCGTCTCCCTCGTCCAGAAAACCTCGTGAAATATGCAGAGAGCTGCATGTACACTCCAGTATACCGCACTTACAGGTAAGTTACACAAGGGAGGAGCATCCACGACCCTGCTGTAGCATGATTACAAATATTGTGGTCTGTAGCTCTAGAGTTCACGTACAAGTTTAAGTTTGTTTACTTTGTCATATTAAACTTTTCCCCTCTTTCCAAAAATAAGCAGTATGTGCCTTGGATATGTTTGCTTGTACATCAATGTGATCTTGTATTATATTGTTGGAGCATTTATTTTTGAACTCAAATTTATGTGAGCAAATACGGAGAAAAGCATCAGGTGTGTTTTCAATTGATTTCTTAGGTTTCTAAAATCAAAGTTTAGTAGATGAGACTTCTGACTTACCTGTTAACTGGCTCTCATGTGTGGCTCGTGAGGTTGTTGACTTCAGAAAACCCTTCAACAACTGGGTCTCAGAAAATCCTCCTCAACTAATTTAATTGGAAAAAATGTGTCAAGACCCTAAAAACAAAAACCTCTTGTGGCTCAGCCCCTTGAAATTTTTCTTATGTGATGTAACCCCAAAAGACCCAACAAATTGTGTTCCAGCCCCTTTTCATGCTCTCTCAAAAAGTGACCCAAAAAAGTTTTGAAAATACCTCATGTTCTTCTTTTTCTCCGTGTCTTTCTCCCCCTCCTCTCCTCTAACTGCTCCTTTCACCTCTTCTTCTCTCCTCCTCTCCTCCTCTCTTCCCTAACCCTACTTTCCTCCTCTTACTCCTCTTGCCCTCGACCCCGTCGTCTCCCTCTCCCGCCTCCCCATTCGCCACCACCGAGCCTCCAACCACATCATCTTAGGTAAGTGTTGAGAAGGCTTAGAGAAGAAGGAGAGGCGGTTAGTGAGATGGATGGAGATGAGCATGGAGAAGGAGTAGGAGAGAAGGAAGGAGGGGCCGAGCTTTACGATTGATATGTTATGTAGGGAGTTTGATTGTGTTTGGATGGCACAAGATTAATAGCAAGAAGGTGAGTTTGCTGATACCTATAGTTGTTTAGGTTTGATATGTGAAGATAGACTTTGGATCTTGCCATCTTCTTTGCTCGCTCTGGCTTAAGTTAATCCCCCATTTGTATGAACTTTGTAAAATCTTCAGTAGAGTAGGAAGTATGCAGAAGAGAAACAAGGCATTAGTTCAAAATTTTTGATTATGGCAGAGAAATATATAAATTATGTAAGGTAGAACATTGTGAGAGAATGTGAGCTGCGCATGTTGTATTCAAGAATATTTTATCTATGTAATCTGAAGTAGATTGTTCGAGTATTACTTGATGGGCTTTTGTCATAGAAATAGACACGCTCTGGTAATCTTCAATCAGCTGAAACTATAAAATACATGTTTATTGTATGTTGGTTATTCCTTTTTCATGTTAACTATCTCCATTTGTTGTTAACTTATACCTAAAATTGTTAATTTTTGGGTTTTCCTGTTAATTTTCACTGAATGTTGTTAACTAGCTCCTTTTTCTATTTACTTTTAGCCGCAACTGTTAGCTTTTGAGTTTTTCTATTAACTTTTATTGGAAGTAGTTAAATATGGGTTATATCTGTTAAGTATAAAAGGTACTAACAATAAATGTATCAAACCGATAGCAAAAAGAATGTAATTGGTGATTGGTGTGGAATGCTATGCAGAACTATACTTTTCATAGAGCGATATTAGTTTTCAATACTTTTTTAACACATTGTGGAATAATTTTGTAGGCTTTAAGAATTTAACACTAATCAAATTGTGAAATACTAGCTATATCAGCTGTAAGAATGTAAGACTTTATATTGATTAGTCTTATATTCTTACAGCTAATATAGCAAATATTCCACAATTTGATTAGTCTTACATTCTTAAAGCCTCAAAATTCTTCCATAATGTCCTACAAAAGTCTTAAAAATCTATATTGTTCTATCAAAAGTATAGTTTTGCAAAGCAATTCATACTAATCAACAATGAAATTCTTTTCTACTATCAGTTTGGTACGTTTATTGCTGATATCAGTTATACCTAACAGGTAACACCCAGAGTTAACAACTTTCAGTGAAAGTTAACAGGAAAACCCAAAAGTTAGCAGTTTTAGATAAAAGTTAACAGCAGAGTGAGATAGTTAACATGGAAAAAATAGCCAACATACGGTAAATATATACTTTACGATGATTAGTTACATTATTTTAGCTAATATAACAAGTATTTCACAGTTTGATTAGCCTTAAATTCTTAAAGCCTACAAAATTCTTCCACAATGTGTTATAAAAGTCTTGAAAACCTATATTGCTCTATCAAAAGTATTGTTCTGCATAGCAGTCCACACTAATCATCAATTACATTCTTTTTTGCTAACAGAAAACGGAGATAGTTAACAACTTCCAATAAAAGTTAACAAGAAAACTCAAAAGTCAACAGTTTCAGATAAAAGTTAAACATCAAACTGAGATAGTTAACAACTTCCAGTGAAAGTTACCAGGAAAACTCAAAAGTTAACAGTTTCAGGTAAAAATTAACAGAAAACGAAGATAGTTAACATGAAAAATGAATAGCCAACGTACGTTAAACATGTACTTTATATTAATTAATCTTATATTCTTACAGCTGATATAGCAAGCATTTCACAGTTTGATTAGTCTTATATTCACAATTTAATTTCCCAGCTGATATAGTAAGCTATTGGTCTAACATTCAGGTCCCTATGAGATATTCCAATAAACAGAGGATCACATTGCATGAAGTTAGACAGCTAGTTAGCAAAACCAACATGTGCAATAAACTCGTATAAAGCTCCATGACACAAATGTATTCTGGCGTGCATCAAGCTGTAATCACACAAACACCTACAATGCAGAACTCGAAAGTCAAAACCATTCTAACGAGATACACATTCTAATGGCGGTCTAATCAACAATCAGATGTAGTTCAATTGACCGAAGCTTATCCCATTGAGATAGAGTATCTATCAAGCACATTGACACACAATAGAATTTAAATTATCAACTAGAGCTCGTCGTAGGAGATCCACATTGACTGAAGCTTATCCCATTGAGATAGAGCATAGCAATTCACATCTCTCTTTATAAGCATCTTGCCAACTGCCTCTCCTGATTCTCTTAAGTCTTCTCAATGCTTGCCTGAGATGATGGGCTCAGTGGGAAAAGGGGGGAGGCGGGAGAGGGAGACGACGGGGTCGAGGGCAAGAGGAGTAAGAGGAGGAAAGTAGGGTTAGGGAAGAGAGGAGGAGAGGAGGAGAGAAGAAGAGGTGAAAGGAGCAGTTAGAGGAGAGGAGGGGGAGAAAGACACGGAGAAAAAGAAGAACATGAGGTATTTTCAAAACTTTTTTGGGTCACTGAAGAAGGATCTCGTCAGGCACATTTGGCAAAAATTTGGAACAACCTTCGACTAGATTTACCAATTTAGTGTGTGTTTTCTTGAATGTTTTCAATAATTTGTATGTTTGGTTTTTCGTGTGCTTAATAAAATCGTGTGTTATTTTATGTTAATTTAATAATAATATTAAAAATTAAATTAGTAATATATATAAATATTAAATATTATTTATTGAATATTAAATTATTAATAAAATTATAATTATAAATATATTAGTTATAATTGAAGAAGGATCTCGTCAGGCACATTTGGCAAAAATTTGGAACAACCTTCGACTAGATTTACCAATTTAGTGTGTGTTTTCTTGAATGTTTTCAATAATTTGTATGTTTGGTTTTTCGTGTGCTTAATAAAATCGTGTGTTATTTTATGTTAATTTAATAATAATATTAAAAATTAAATTAGTAATATATATAAATATTAAATATTATTTATTGAATATTAAATTATTAATAAAATTATAATTATAAATATATTAGTTATAATAGTAATAATAATATATGAAATAAAAAATATGAGTGAATAAATATGGTGGGCTATATGTTGGTGTGATGTGGTTATGGTGGGTCCCAAATAAAGTGAAAAAGTTTTTGAAAAACTAGCTGCTGCAAAGTTGATAGGGAAATGAGTGTTATTGAATTATGTGGTGGGGGAATAAAGTGATATGGCAGGAGAGAAGGGGTGAAAATTTGCCTACCTGCTGGAGATGGTCTAAACTCAAAGAGAACCTAAAAAAGGAATAATAAGAAACTGAATTAATTATGAGTTTTATCATTCTAAAATAATTGAGACATTGCTTCGTATTTTTTATTGCTTTAAGTATTTTTTATAAATAAAATATATTTGTGGCTTTATTATTGTAAATAGATATAATAAGCTAATTTTTTTTACTTTGTTAACCAATTTTGAAGATTCAATTTTATAAATAGTGGAAAATATTATTTTCTATATTTAATAAATAGTAATCCATTAAAGTGATGAGCCTTGGTCCCATTAAAGTGATGAGCCTTCGTCGTTCGGAATTCAGTCAAAATGGGAAGGACTTTTGGTTCGGACGAAGTCGGATGGAATAGCTTTCTTATTAGTGAGTCATCACTTGAACATTAAGCTATATAATTGCTCGGTAATTTGATTGTTATGTTTACATACATGTTTATATTGTATAGTACCTTTTTCATTGGGTCTGCTAGCGTATATGCCCGCATTAAAATCGGTGAAACCTTATATAAACTTTCAAATTCTACTAGATGCATGTTAAGTTGTTTTTCCAAGAAATGAAAGATAACCTTTTGATTATAGTTAATTAATATTTGAATGTTACGTAACCATATGTACTTGTTGATATGGTTTGCGCTCATTTCACTGATTTCGGTTTTTTGTTAGCTGTGGTAATGGTGTTACTTCAAACAAGCTCCACATTTCATTGTTTGGGGGGAAAAATTAAGTAGACAAAATGGACAAATAATGATACTTCATCAGAAATTAATAGGCAATGATCTCAGGTGTGGGCAGATTTTTGTGAAATAGTATTAATTCGGTCCAAAACCGAAACCGATCCGAACCGATCCGAATTTCGGTTGGGTCGAATATTTGGATGAAGGGAAAAAAATCTGGATCTGGATGAGAGTTTTGAGAATTCGAAAATTTCGGATTGGATGCGGATTGAGCTTAAAACCGATCCGAACCGAATATGCCCAGCCCTACCCATGAGATTGCAGTCCATTATGGTAAATGAGGTTCAAATTTTGTCAGTAATAAGAAGCTAATAATTTGATCAATGTCATCATGGATAAATAATTCATCTTGAATTGAATTGGATTGGAGATGGAAGAGTGGATTAGTACAATATTTTTGCGTGTTTTTTATTTTGGCAATTTTTAGAGCTGACCACGACACTTATTAAAAGTGGTGATTTTTTTTTTT